CTGAGTACGTGAGCCGGGACGGTGGGGGGCTGAGGAGGCAAGCGGCGAGTCGGTGGCTGACCTGTTCTACTGGTCTGGTCTGGCTCCCATCCCCTCTCCAAGGGTTGCAGCTGTCTGGAGGTGCCTTCCTTCCACGCCTTCCTCATTCACACCTCATTCATTCAACAGGGCAATTGATTACAAAGTGGGGGGGAAGATCTTACTCTACTTCTAGCAAAAAGCTATTTTTTTTACCTAATTATACTACCTTAGGGGCCAGCTATAACATATTACCAAGGTTCAATACTGCTGTTTCAGCAGGGCGGCACTGGGGCAGGTGAGCCGACGGTTGTTTCTGTGGCGCGGGCGGCGCTCGGGGGGGAGGGTGTTTCCGTGGGGTGGGCGGTGGGGGGGGGGAGTTCGGCGGGGCCGAGGGGTTTCGGCCCTCAGCTGTTTTCTTTGGAGTAATATGGCCCTCGCCGCTTGACGGGTTGTGCAGACCTGCTGTAGTTGGAGTATGGGGTCAGTGTGTGTGCCCTAAGGATGGGGGCGCATCTCTTTTGCGTAGTTTGGGACAGGGTATGAGTATCATACTTGGGAGTTTTATCCTTTTCCTCTGGTCTAAAGGCATTTTTCTGATTTCTGGTGCATTCATCTAGGAATATAAACACTTGCATACCTTGTCCATCTAGTCCAGTATCCAGTCTGACAGAGACCAATACCAGATGCTTCAAAGGAAGGTACAAGAAACTCTGTAAAGGACAAATACAGAATGACCAGCCCATAGGGGAAGCTTCTGTCTTCATTAAATATTTGGCTTTTGCACTGAACTTTGAGAGTTCTTATCCCTTTTATATCAGGATAAATATCTTTTGATGTTTCCAGTATCCATGTAAATATATTAATTCTGTTTTTAATCCTGTTCATTTTGGCCTGAGATCTCTTGTGACAGCGAGTTCTACATATTAATTACACACTGATAAAAGGAACCCTTTTTTAAAACAGATTTAAATGTTGTCTTTCAATTATATTGAATTTCCCCTTTTTGTATCATGAGCATAAATTGGAGCCCTTGACTTCCCTTCTCTATCTCCTCCAGTATTTTGTTAAACCTCCATCATATCTGCTCTTATTGGTCTTCTCTCTAATTTTTTTTCAGTCTCTTGGTTGGGAGTCTCTCCATGAATCTAATCACTTTCATTGCCAATTTCTGAACCCTTTCTCATAGATCTCTTAATATAGAGTGACCTGAACAGAACAGTGTTCCAAGTAAAGGCATTCCATTGGTTTGTATAATGATATTAAAAGATTTTCAGGATATTCTATCCCATATTTTAGACCCTACCATTTTGTTTTTTGACCACTGCTGTGCACTGATCTGGCTGACACCTGTGACTTTTCTTGAGCAGTGACAATTAATTTAGAACTCAGCTTTTTGAATGCATAGTTACTCCTTCCAAAGTGACTAGCCTTGCCTTTCTCAGCAGTGAATTCCATTCATCCTTATGATGCCTATTCACCTAGCTTTGTTAGGTCAGTTAATTAGGTTTATTAGTGCCCCACTCTTCTCTAGTCTTGATTAACCTAAATAAGCTTGTCATGTATAAACTGTCACTTTACTGTTCACCTCTCTTTTTCAGATCACTAACAAATATATTAAACAGAACCTTGAGGCAATCCACTGACATCTGTGGCATCTTTATACGAGACACACAATGGAGAGTCATATAGGCTTCTGTCTGTGGGTGGACAATTCCAGTCACTATCCGTTTATTGTAGGTAGTATCTACCAGAACGCTGGTTCCTGCTTTTACTCCATTATTGGGAGAAGGGCTTCTGCAGAGGAAAGAGCTATGCCTTATTTGCCCCAAGTATTTCAAGATCCATTGTGATAACTCATTGGATTTTCTGGAGCTCAAGGCCCTCCACCCAAAATACCCTTCTCCCCCACAAACCTTCAAGCTTCACATAAGAGACTATTAGGCACTATGTCCTAGGTGGTGGTAACCCTCATGGCAAGGCACTGAGGGCAAGATAGTTTGAGGTGGAAAAGGTCTAACTCACAGAACACTCTAGAGATAAGGATCAGGACCTTGAACTGGATCCAGAAGTCTGGAGGGGAGGAAAACGGGACTGTGAACATATCTGTTCAATATGCACTTTTGGCCAAAAACGTCAACAATATTAGGATGCATAAGGAATGAGATGGAAAGTTATAAAATGCCATTGTAATATTTTCTGTATTAATCAATGGTTTGCTCTCACCTAGAATAATGTATTCCCCTTTGTTAGTTCTCAGAAAACTTCAATATTCTGCTTGGATTAGAACTAGCAAGAAATTGCCACACATGACACCTCTCTAGGTAAAACTAGAACAGGGCTCATCAAACGTTGCCTAACCAAGACACTTGAAGCAACTAGCTAACAGTCAAAGACCACAACTCATGTAAAAAGAAGCTGATCATAACCTCTTATTTTGCCAACAATGAAATTCACTCAGTTGGTCACTGGGGGAACCACAGCCTTTATGTAGTAATTAAAATTTACTATTTATTCAATGCTTTAATTGACACATTCAATATCACTCAATGAGGATCTGCTCCCCATAGGAGGCTGCTAATCCTGCCCTGTTATTTTTTTTTTTTTTCTTCTCCATCCCCCTTCCTCTGCTTCTTTCCCTCCTCTGCCTTTGGGCCAGTCTTCACTCCCACTCACTTTCCCAGTCCGTCTGCTAAAGTGATCAGCAATGAAATAGTTAATGTTGACACTGAAGTCTCACTGATATTTAGAGTTGACACACCAATGGGGGCGGAGGGGGGAGAGAGGGAGTTCATCTGTCTCAGTCACTGTTTCAGGCTGTCTGCAAACTGAGGCAGACACCACAACACTGGTTATGGTCATGTTTTGGAAGGCTTTCTTTGCTTCCTATGAGAGCTAGAAAGTTTTTAAATGTGAAAGCTCTGTTTCTGCACAATGAGTGTTGTTTGGATCACACAAACACATCACAAAGGCTAGATCTGACCTGCTAGCCATATGTTAGACACCCCTGGATTGGATAAGAATATGCACAATTGTTATGGTTACCGCTAAAGAGACTTCGAAGGGGGTATAAAACTTCATGCTTCTGTGCTTAAGCCAATCTCCAACAGCAGTTAGAGCATAGTCATGAGGGGCAGGATTTTTTATGTTGGCCACTGCTGAAGATGGGCTACTGGACTATAGGTTTGATCCATTATGTTAATTTCTATGTCTATGAAGAACACTACATTATTGCACTTACCTGTTATATGGTTAATAATAATATTGTAAACAAGGACTACTGTTTTTTCTTGTCTTAGTTTGCCACTGTTTATAAAGCAAGGGATAAGAACACCAATCAGATTGTTGCTATTAAAAAGGTGAGTGTTGTGTGCTCTTTTATGTACGTACTCTGCAATCAGGTATCTAGTTGCTCTTGAAACTGTTCAATGGCTTTATCAATTTAAAGGAAAGCTGTGATTATTTATTCCTATGGCATCAACAGTGTGGTGGTTGACCAACTGGTTGACCAGTCCAAATCAGCCACCTCAAATGTTTTCATAATGTAAAACGCTGGCTTCAACACCATTACGTTTCTAGGTTTGTGATTGGTCACCTAGCTCAGAAGCTGGAATTTTAAATATTGCAGACCACATTTTGGTGGGCTGTTACTTTTTATTACTTAAAAAAACCCCAAACATGCATTTCCAAACATAATGTTAGTAGTGTTAAACTTTGGGTCTTCCACACACTTGTGTCCTCTTCAAAAGGAGTGTCTAATGTTTGTCCCCCTCAGATAAAGTTGTTTCCAGATAACCCTTTTAGATGGTCTGGCTATTGGTGTTGGGGGAAATCTTGCTTTTGACAGTCATAGATTTCTGTAATTTAGCCTTTGGAGTAAAATGTTTACAGTGCGATTGCTCTTTTCTGATTTGAAACACCATAACCTGATGAGGTTACAGTAAATTGTAATATTGAATATAAATGTTTTAGATATGCTCTGAGGGAATCTTACTATGATGGGATTACCATAATGAAGAAGCAAGTACCCCTCAGCTTTGCTTAATAAGCAAAGTTGAGCCATTTCAATAATGCAGTCAGGTTGTTCAGTATTCATATTGTACTACTACTACTTCTCTACTACTGCTCCCATAAGGCTGTTGCTGTTTAAAATTGCCATGGAGAACAAACTTGTTTGCACTGTAAAATTGCTGTAAGATCACGTGAAGTTTTGTTGTTTAAAAAGTAACTTCAGGACTGAAAAATGTTTGGCATGGGATCAATCTGGTAAAATCAGAATAGCCTGTACATTTGAGGTGGTTTGCAACAACCATGTGGATGCCAGTCTTGATAAAATTCGTACTTGGTATGATTCACCTTCTTGGGAGAAGCCCATTACTGGTGTCGTATGGCTTTGCAGGCCCAGGCTGAGGTTGCAGTTACAAAACTCTTTGGTAAGATTGCATTATGTCTGGCTTTGGGAAACATAAACACCTGTTCCTTTTGTAAATGCCAAAGCTACAAATTCACTTCTAAAAATAAACTACTTAGCTATTTAAGATTTTTTGTTAACATTAAAACTCAGTTTATCTTTGAGAAACTTATTGAGGTTGTCTTCAGGTGTTGAGGAATGTGATTTTAATTACAGATAATACAGCACTTACTATTTCTTTAGATTAAACTTGGACATAGATCGGAAGCTAAAGATGGTAAGTACTTAAAATACTTGTACACCTTAACTTGTTTTGGCTTTTTGCCTTTAATGTGTGACTGTGAACTTCCTACTGTTGCTGTAGAGCAGTGAATTAGTTATTTCGTCTGTCCTAGCTGGAAAAGTGATAGCTATATTGACTAACTTAATCCTACTTATTTGATGTAACTTTTCCACAATAACAATACTTCAACACATGTGGGGGATGGAAAGAGAAACAAATAGAAAACTTCATATACTTCGCAGTGTTGAACATGATATAAAATCCTAGAGTGTCAAATCAATTGATTTCCATTATCTAAGATAAGTAGATGTAAATGAAATATAAATAGCAGCAAATACATTTAATTTTAAAACTTTTCAGTTTTTAATAATCTTTGGCTAGTCACATAATTATTAGTTTACAACATTGAGTTTACTGTGCCTTTAACTTCTTTCTCCTTTGATTTCCTGCCCACATTTCTGTTGTATGTTTTATCATAGTGCTGTTGATGTGCATGGCATATTAGATTGGTAAGAAGCTAGTCCTTTTGTATTTCTTTTCACACTGGTGTCCCCAATGTCTCCCCGTTTAATATCATTCATGTATTTCAATCATAGTTAGCAGAAGGAAGATGACTGTAGGAAGAATTAGGCTTCAACTATGTGTTGGTGTGGATCTCATTGTAGGTACATATGTGCCTCATGCATGCAAGATCAGATTTTTTTGAATAGTGGTGTCTAGCAGGGCCTGTCATACACACTATGCCTCCTTGCACTCTCATGCAAGCGCATAAAGAGTAGGGCAGGCACAACCCTCCCTAAGATCACTTTTATTGTCTGTGGCAGCAAGATGGAACCCAGCGAGTGTCCAACCCACTACTCTCTTCAGAGACCTTAAACAGGTTTTTTAAACTTTTTTGGGGAAGAAATTATCTTCACACTTTCATGCAAATGATGTTCCCAAAAAAGAGATGAAATCAACTGACCCCACTATACACTGGAGTGAGGCACTTTGTGCCAACCAAACTTTCATGATGGAATCCAAATCCTCAGGATTCCATCTCTGGCCATCCAGTGACAGATACACATGATGCCTCTTCTGTTTAAGGGGGAGCCACATCCGAGACAGGTGCTCTGTGTGCAAGTCTTTGTGCCATGATCCAGTACAGGGACAATTGGCTCAAGTTGCATCTCCCTGAACAGTCCATACTGGTTACTTCAGACCAAGAGATGATGGTTACAGCCAGAGTGGGGCTGGATAAAGCAACATTGGCCAGCATTCCCTTGAGCACTCCATGTTCTGTGGTCAGGGGATGGAAAGAACGCAGAGAGAGCAGTATTGGTACTGATGATACTGACCACCTTAACGTTGGTGAAGTCCCCAGTGCGTGAGACCTTAGCACTGACAATGCTGGAACCAGTGACTTTGGTTCCTGTGCAAGCTACCTTGACACCTCAGACAATAAAATAACACCTATGCCTGCTCATAAACAGGACTCCAACTTGCATAGTTGTACCGAGCATAAGCGTAGCCCTGAAACCAAAGAAGTCCCAGTTAGAGCACATGAAATGTCAGTCCTCCAAGAACACAGTCCCTAAGCAGCTGGGCAGAGCAAGAACCCTGACACTGATCCTGTTACTGTTACCTGTGATGGAGCTGAGCAAGGACCTAACTCTTTCAGTAGAGGAACCCATATACCATCCGCAAATGTTCCTGGTACTGATGAGGTGGACTGGACCAGGACTGGTGCCTTGCCAGTGCCCTTTGAAGGGAATATACACACCTTGCCATTGCCTATATATTCTTGTCAGCATTGAGCAGAGATTCTTTGCCCCTGCCAATGGAGAATGATCCCAAAGAGGGCATAAGGAAGCCCCCATTCAGAGCACTGAGTGCTGCACCAAATGGCATGGGAGTAACACTGGGTCAGCTAACAAGGCCAGTACCCAGGTAATGTCCCACCTTGGCCATATTGGACTTACTGGGACCTGTCCTCCCACACCAGATGATCAGAAATTTGTGGTGCCACCTCCTGTTGCAGAACTGAGTTGGTGGAAGGAACCCAGAAACATTCATGGAGTGGTACCATCTTCTCCCTCCTCCCTGACAAAGACTTTAATCATGGATGTGTCAAGTACTGATTGGGGAAGCCCACCTGGACAATCTACAAATTCAAGAGATTTTGTCCTCAGAAGACCTGGGGTTCCACATCAAGCCATCAGGTTAGCCTGTAATCCAACAGTGCATTTCTTGTAGGACAACAGCTCTGCAATATGCTACATAAACAAACAAAGAGATATATGCTCATTTCCTCTCTGCCTGGAAGCCATCAAGTGCTGGACATGGTGCCACCAATACTGGAGAACATCAGTGGCTCTTCATCTCCCAAGTGTCAGCATCAACCTGGCAGACTTCCTAAGCAGGCAGGCAATTACCACCATGCCACATGCTAAACTTTTGTCCAGAGCGGGCATGAGTTTGGGGTTGCTACCAGATGCCGCCTTTCTGCAGTGGTCCCAAGGCCTATTTTATGCCTTTCCACCAATTATCCTGACCCTCAGGATGACTTCCAAAATCAAACGGGACAAAGCCATGATTATTTTCCTAGCTCTGTGCTGACTGAGGCAGTCTTGGCTGACAGACCTGCTACAAATGTCCATCCAGTCTCCGATCCAGCTCCCAGACCTCATCTTACAACACCATGACAAGATACTCCATCCAGACCTGAAACCCCTGCACCTATTCTATGGCTATTGGCTAACTAAGTACCACAGATACAGAATTCATCTAATTGGAAGAGGTTCTCAATGTGAGCATTGGTCCAGGTCTCAGTACTGAACATTCTCTACTACTTGTTGCATTTAAAACAGGCTGGCCTTTTGTTAATCTCCTGGGGTCCACCTATTCAGTGATGCTTGGTCTTTTCTAACCCCACAATATCTAAATTTTTCAAAGGGTTGCTGCACACTTACCCACTGTTCAGAGAACAGAATCCTGCCTGAGATTTCAGTTTAGTCTGAGTCTCATGGAGGCCTCTTTCCAACCTTTCACAGAATGCAGCTTACACCACCTATCTCTGAAGATGGTCGTCTTAGACTATTGCTTCAATCAGGAGATTGAGTGAGCTTCAGGCACTTATATCTGAACCTCCCCATACCACATTACATAAGCACAAAGTGATGTTGCAACTTCACTTGAAGTTCGTTCCTAAGAGTGTCTCAGAATTTTATCTAAGCCAGTCAATCAACCTTCTTCTGTTTTTTCTCAAAGCCACACTCAGCACTGGGAGTGTGTGCGTGTCCAGGACTTGACTTTATTATATTGACAGCACCAAACTGTGCACTTCATCTTTCTAGCCATAGGTGGGCACTCTACAGGTCAATCTATCTCTTCACAAAGAATATTGAAATGGATAACACAATATATCTTGCTGTGTTACTTGCTGGCTGGTGTATCTCTTTCATTAAACATCATGACTTGCTCCACCAGAGCACAAGCAACATCCTCCACTTGCTTTAGGAATGTTCCAAAACTGCTGCCTTACAGATTTCTAATGTTGAGTAACCCACTGACCTTTGTCAAACACTATGCCTTGGAATTAGCCACCAGGTCAGCTGCCACGCTTGAGAGAGCAGTATTTCAATCACGGTTTTACTGATATAGCTGCAACTTATTCCCACCATCCTGAAGAGGATACTACTTGACTGTCACCTACAGTGGGATCTACACTAACATGTACTTGAAGGAAGAAATATTACATACACTACAATAACTCTAGTTCTTTGGTATCTTGTTGGTGTGGATCGCACATACCACTCTTTATCCCCCTGTCACATGGGAGCATGAGGAGGCAGAGTGCATATGCTGCCCCGATGGACATTGCTATTCAAAAGAACCTCTATTCAAAAGGATGATGCACATGTACAACCACCGTGGGATCCACAGTTGTTGCTGGATAAGTAACCATTTTTTTAAAAAGCCTTAAAATTGTTTGACAGGTCAAGATTTGATATACTCTTCTAGGTCTATGCCACAACTTCTCTATTTTGCCAAAAGGGGGCATACACTGCTATAGAAACAGTCACATCATAAGGTGTGAATTTCCACCAACTTGTTAGTTGTGAAGTATTTACTGTTGTCTGCTATGATAATGATGCGTACCCAACTTTGAATTACAGTGATGTACTTAGTTGCCATTCTGCAAACTGAATGCATTTTTTCTCACTTTGTAGTCTAGTTCATAATTTCTCAAACAATCGTAAATGACCAACAACATACAAAAGAAGCTGAATTAGAAATTCTTATTGGTAGCTAAATTGAAGTTTTTATATGCTGCTCCTGCCTTTAATGTGATCTTCCTTTCAATCTAGGAATCAACAGAACAGCCCTGAGGGAGATAAAATTGTTACAGGAGCTAAGCCATCCAAATATCATTGGTGTAAGTATAACATGAATACTACTTGTGGCATATGCTGTAAGTCAGTCCCTGAATACTGTAGATCTAGTCTGCTGTGATCATGGAGATTTTTATCTTAATTCTTATACTGGCTGTCTTGCAAGTTGGCAAACCGTGATAAAATAACTTTAATAAAAAGGCAGGTCTCAAAATCCACTTGCATTTTTGCCAAGTGGTAGTTGGAAACTTTTGCTGTTTAGGTGGGGAGAGAATCTCAAATCTTGAAAAATTCAAATTTAAAAATAAAGTTGCTTGTGAATCAATGCAATGTGGCATTTCCCTGATTTTTTTGCATGTTGTTCTCTTGCCTCTGTTGCTGTTCAGCTTTCCTAAGCAACAGCAATGTGAAACCGACAAGGTCTGTTCAGTTTCACTAATGCTATTTAAAATCCAGTGGGCTGCAGTAATACTTGTAGTTCAGAGCATGCATTTTTTTAGTTGTTTGACTTTCAGCTTCAGATAAATGTTTGTAAAGGTAAATACTAGTGATGGTTGATTCTCTGAACGGTTGGTTCAGATAGACATACAAAAGTTCAGATGCTTTATTTAAATATTTTCCCTGGAAGTATACTGTTCTTGCTGGATCTCAAGCCCATTCTTACAGCATTTCCATGCTTGTAGCTGAAACCAGGAGGTGCTGAAACACATCAATTAATAAGCAGTTAACTTGACTGCAAACATTCAAAAAAGGCTTTAGCTTGTCATAAATATAAAAAGGATAGCATAAAATCCCTCCTTGGCAGCTGTACTAATTGCTTTACTTGTAAGGGGTTAAGAAGCTCAAATCTAGTTGGCACCTGACCAGAAGGACCAATGAGGAAAGAACATACTTTCAAATCTTGGGGGGGGGGGGGGGGGGAATTTGTTTGTGGCTCTTTGTTTGTTCCCTCTCCGGGCAGGTACATCATCTCCTGAAAACGTACCCGAAGTGATCCATCTAAAATTACAAAAATTGAAACCTTGTAAGTAAGGCAAGGAAATGCGTTAGGTTATCTTTTGTTTTGGTTTGTGAATTTTCCCTATGCTAAGAGGGAGTTTCATTCCTGTTTTGTAACTGTGAAGCTGAACCAGAGGGGAATCCTCTGTTTTAAATCTTTTTTTATTTAACCCTGTAATGTTACCTTCCATTCTGATTTTGCAGGTGTGATTAGTGTACCTTTTCTTTATAAATAAAGTTCTTCTTTTAAGAACCTGATTAATTTTAGTGTCCTAAAAATAAAGGGTCTGGTCTGTACTTACATTGAAGACAATTGGTTGGTATATTATTCTCAAGCCTCCCCAGGAAAGGGGGTGAAGGGGCCTGGGGGGATATTTTGGGGGGATAGGGATTCCAAGTGACCCTGCCCTGAATTTTTCTATAAATGACTTGGTGGTGGCAGCAGTACTGTCCAAGGACAAGGAAAGGAATTTGTGCCTTGGGGAAATTTTTAACCTAAACTGGTAGAATATAAGCTTAGGGGGTCTTTCATGTGGGTCCCCACATCTGTACCCTAGAGTTCAGGAGGGGGGGAGAACCCTGACAGCTTGTATGTTCGCAAGACAGTTTTGCTCATCCTAGTAAAGATGCTAAAATGAGTTTGTCTGAGTCTTTGATAACTTGCAAAACTTAGAAGTTCTCAATCGTCCACTTATGAACTGAAGTTCTAAATGCTGTATTATGGCCAAGAACAGTTTGCCAAAAACATACAAAGCTGAATCCACACAGACAGACAACGGGTACATGACAATAGTCGGGGGGAGGGGGCAGAGTGAGGACAGGTGGCTTCAGCAATGTTACTGAGCATGCTCAGTACAAGCTAAGCAGCAAATCGGGTGGGGAGGCATGTGACCTCTCCCTCCCCCCCCCCCCCCCGTCTCCCCTCTGCACACAAGACTAGGTAAAGCATTTCTGAAAGAGCAAGAACAAGGAAGAGACTCCATCATGCTCTTGTCTGCTCTGTTAGTTTGTGATATCGCTCCCACTGTAGTTCAGGCTGTGAAGGTAATCCTATTTTACAGGAGTGTCTAACTCTGTTTTTAAAATATAGTAGTAATTCATTGATATATATTTTGCTTTCCACAACCAACTCTCTGTACAACTTTTCATGAGTGATGTACCCAAATACTTGGATGCTAACATCTAACCTGTATTGTTAAATTTATTCACCTAAATTTGGATTGCTGATTATGTACTACATGTAGCCTATAACTTTTTAAACAAACTTTATATATGTGGATAATCTAAGCACTATACCCAGACATACAGACACTCTTCTTAACCTGTGTATTATATAATTTAACATTAGCTTTAATAAAAAAAAATTAATTCTGTACAACTACTATGCCTTCCACTCAGGATCTGTTTTTTACAAAGACAAATTATTTAAGCCCTTTAACTTCCTTGTGAAGTGGGTAAGACTGGTCATTTCTACTTTACAGGTGGGGAAACTGAGACACAGTTTGTAATTTTCTTATGGTCACATAGCAAGAGAGAGACAGAGCCAGGCTGAATGTCAGATTTCCCCATATTGCCCTCTAATCACTACAGTATGTTCTCTTCCCAGTATATGCAACTCTGCTCCCCCTTCCTGAAAACCATTACAATACATACCGAAGTGACACAACATTAAAATGATGATATTAAAAGTACTCTGCAGTCAAATATATTTTCCATGTTGTGGTATATTTTGGTTTTCCAGCTTCTTGATGCATTTGGACACAAATCCAATATTAGTCTGGTCTTTGATTTTATGGAAACAGATCTAGAGGTAAGACTGCTTTAGCTGTTGCCTTCTTTTGATTCAATACTTGGAATGTTTTAATTTTCAATATTTTGCACAAAACCATTGAAATACTGGAAACTGTGATAATGTATTACTTTTTCATATTGATATCCAGATGGTATCTCCAAGTAAATGCATTTTGAAAATACTTAAATCAAGAAAGATTAGTGATTTGTATTGGTAAGAGATGAGACTCTATAACACTTTGTCAGTTCAGGTAGTATCTTTTTAAAATCGGTTTTATAGTATATTAACATTCATGCATTCTTTATTAGGATACAATGCTTTATTTTTTTAATACTACTCTAGAGTGTCAGTAGACTTTTGTCAGGAAATAGTTTATTAATCTCATATTTGTGTAGAATTAAAATTTTGAGACCCCAGTCATAGACCAGGACCTCATTGTGCTAGACAATGTACAAACTTTTTTTTGTAATTATTTTGTAATTAGTAGTAATAGGCATGCAGTCCTGTTTGAATCAGTTCTGTTAGCTTGTGAATTGGGTGCATTACAAGAAATATAAGTAACATATTATCCACTGATAGTTTTCTGTTTTGCTGGTGTTTGATCCCTATTGGAGTCTAAATGAGTAAATCTTTGCAGGGGATTTGATATCGCATGTTTTTATGCATTCTTCAAAATAAAGACTGTAGTAAGCAAGAGTGCATATGCAATGACTACCCATGCTTTACAGGGAAAAAGAGCTTAATTTAATGGCAGTAATCTGTCAGTGTAGAATGCAGTGAGCAACCGGAAGAGCATATACAAACGTTAAAAGAATAGTTGTATGTTTTGCTAATATCTGTAATGCCTGTCATAAAGGAAGAGGTGCTTAAACTAGAGGAATACAAGATCAAAACAAAGTTAATAGATTACTAAACAAAATAAAAGGTTTGTTTTTTTTGCTGATAGCAATGTTTACCCTCTCCTTGATGATGTGCTCCAAATACTCATAAGAATTAAGTTGAGACTTGTAAAATATCAACTATTAGTGTTTGCTCTATATATTTTCCTAATATATTAACTTTACTTATCTATATAATTCAAAACTAAGTAAAATCTATTTTTATGACCTAGGATGCCATGACAAACTAGGACAAGGCAAAACAAAGCATTTATTTGTATTTTGGTAGCATCCACAAGACCCAGCTGGGATCAGGATCGGTAGCGATTAGCATTGTACGACATATAGAAAACTTAATGCAGTCTAAGATAACTATTTTAGATATTTTACAAATTTCAACTTGACTTTTTAAGCATGTTGGGAAATGGAAGCTATTGTAGGTATGCAAAGCATTATTAGAAAACCAGTGGAGGGAGCAGTGTGTGGAGGCAGAGAGAATGTTTTAAAAAATAGGATGGAGCAAGTTCAAGTAAAAATGGCCTCTTTTTTTTTTTGTATAGATCTTTCATGGATTCTGAAACAAGTGGATTTGTTAATGGTAGTGAATAGGTCGTATCTTCATGTGTGTTCAGAGGGCTGTTGTGTTCTGCCAAGGCTAGTCTTGGAGCTATATTGAAGGAAGGTAAAATAGTTCAGACAGAGAACACAAAAGTATAAATGAGGGTTTCTGTGAAGAAGGACTTGCCACAATAGCATATGCGGTATATTTTGTTGAGGTGGTAGAGTTATAGTTAAGCATATTCCTCTTGCCTAAGAGAGGCACTTTAGCTGGAAGAAGTTGAGATTTCAGATCAAGCTTATGTGGTCATGCAGGTAGAGAAAACATGGAGTCAATATAAACTTAACACAAATATGGTATCTGGAATATCCGTGGTCTCCATTTCAATTTCCATTCTCCAGTGTAAATAGCTATATTTTTTTCTGAAGAAACTTAAGAATTTCCACTACTTTTTACACAACCCAGTGGCATAGAATCTTATTAGCAATTGCACCATGTAATATTCAACTTTGCTTAAAGGAAAATAGTAACATTAAGCAAAGAGAATTGTAATAAGATAATTAAACATAGTTAGATTTTTGGTAAAAAGTTTCATAACCTGCTTTTTCCCAGGTTATAATAAAGGATAGTAGTCTTGTGCTGACACAATCTCACATCAAAGCATATATGTTGATGACACTTCAAGGACTGGAATATTTACATCAGCACTGGATTCTGCACAGGGTAAGTAAGAATACAATACCAATCCACTGTACAGTTAGGAAAGTATTCCTATTTACTTATGAAAGCCTTCCATTTCAAAATTGCGATAGAGTACTGTGGAATAACATTAATATATATAATGGTACTTTAAATCTTTTGATTGCAACTCTTATCTTGGCTGAACTGGGAAGTACCAACTTATTGTGATGAAATAAATGGCGAAATGGAGTTTAATAAAAAGGGCTGGTTTCAAATGTGTAGTGGAAGGCTGCTAAATTGCATATCACTTTCTAGTTAATATATTTAAATCAATTTAAATAAAACTAGTGTACTGCACTTCAGGGAGCAAATGCATCTCTAAAACTTTTATTGTAACTATCAGAGTAATGCCACAAAACTAAACTGCGGCTCTTTGGCAGCGAAGATATGGCCACACTGAAATCAGCTTTTTAAAGGTGTTTGGAAAATTTGCAGGTCAAGTAGTAGAAGTACGACAGCCAAAGAGACACACACACACACAGGTGTAATGCAGAGTTTATTTTTGCAAAAAGGGCTTTCTATAAAGATAGAAGCTTTTCTCCTAGAATAACTTTAATACAAGAGTGCCAGGGGAGCTCGTTATTAGTCATGCTTTTATTGATACTGTCAGCTTTATTGTCTTTGTCCCTTTCTTGACAGGATCTCAAACCAAACAATTTGTTACTAGATGAAAATGGGGTTCTAAAATTGGCTGACTTTGGCTTGGCAAAATCTTTTGGAAGCCCAAATAGAGTCTATACACACCAGGTAGTAACAAGGTAAGAAATAAAGCACTCTGCTTGGCTGTTGGATAGATGGGTATCTTGTAAAATCAGCTCTGTGCACAAACCCAAGAGCTAACTTTATATGAATGTGGCAATGGGAACCTGAATAACTGCTATAAAAGCTGACCTCAGTGCTTTGCAAGTTTATCTAATTGCTTTTCAGAACTATTAGAGAGACAAGATGGGTGAGGTAATACCTTTTATTGGACCAAATTCTCTTGAGAGACAAGCTTTTGGGTTTACACTGAGCTCTTCTTCAGGTCACATGCAGGTGCATCTGAAGAAGTGAGGTTTTTTTACCCACGAAAGCTTATGCCCAAATAAATCAGTTAGTCTTTAAGGTGCCTCCGGACTCTTTGTTGTTTTTCAGGTCACATGTGTAAGCTAGAAAGCTTGTCTTTCCAGCAGAATTTGGTCCAATAAAAGATATTACCTCACCCACTGTCTGTGTAAAAAGGATTATGGAATACACGCCTGTATAAGATCTTCTGTAACTCTAGGTGTTGCCTTTTCTCCAGAAACACAAGGAAGTATGTACACTAGTCTTGTAAGTCCTGGTTGTAATTAACATCTTAAACAACAAGGCTTAGGCTCTTTATCTCTTGTATATTAACCAAATTATTTGCCCTGAATGTAGTATTCCTAACCACTCACTCATGTGTCTCTTAGGGTAACTAAATGGTCTTAATTGACATCAGATAAATCTGTTGGTTTTTTTTGTAATATTTAATACACACTTCTAAAAACAGAGTGGGGGTGCAAAGCACAACTGAACTTCCAGAATATTTTTTCATTTGTCTATACTAATATGAATAGTTGGGATTTATTTTAAATGTCTTCTTCTAATGGAAGAAATGAAACTAGATTTGTGTTAGATATTTCATTAATGGCATAATTACCAACATTTGGAACCATCTCATTTCTTCCATCTACTAAGCTGTTCTCAAATACTAGTGTATTCATCACTGCAAGTGGAATCTAATTAAAGTGTTATCTTCATGAGTAAGGTAAACTGAATTGTTTTAAGCAGTGATACTAGCTACTTTGCGTTAATAGTAACTGCTAGGATTCATTCTACACAAGAATCTCAGCACTTAAATCATCAGTGGCTGTCACTGTCACTTTTGAGGTGTCTAGATATTGGCAGGAATTTTAATGCCTACTTATTTTGGTTCCTGACAAATAACCTTGATTGTTTTTCATTTATTCAGACTGCCAGTTATATCTTCTGTCTTTCAAGTTTGCAGTCCAGTTGTTTGCTAAGTGCAAACATGCTCTGCAATTTCGCTTCGTTTTGGGGAAGTGTGTACAACATCAGGATGTTGAACCACATCCTTAAAGGGGGGGAAAAAGCTCTCTCAAGATATAGATCTTTTCAGACATTAACTTGATGATAAATATCCAGGGAGTGAGCAATAAACATTCTGTAACATTTCTGCTCAGTTAAATACTTTATTTGCATGCTGTGTTATACAAATTATCCTTGCTTGAAAGTGTTCCTGCTTGCTTTTCAGATGGTATCGAGCACCTGAGCTACTGTTTGGTGCTAGAATGTATGGTGTAGGTGTAGATATGTGGGCTGTTGGCTGTATCTTAGCAGAACTGCTTCTTAGGGTAAGCCTCAAACACAAATATTTGTTTATCTATAACATAATGTAGCTCTTGTACATAGGTTCTTATGTACTTCCATCTTTTGTATTTTAACCTTTGACATTTATAACCTCATACTATCTATTTTAATCAACAGAAATCTGACATCTCATCTCACATCACTTTTTTTATTGGCAAAGTCATGAATTGCTTGTACACCTCTACCCCGATATAACGCTGTCCTCAGGAGCCAAAAAATCTTACCGCGTTTATAGGTGAAACCGCGTTATATCGCACTTGCTTTGATCTGCCAGAATGTGCAGCCCCGCCCCCCCGGAGCACTGCTTTACCACATTATATCTGAATTCTTGTTATATCAGGTCGCGTTATATCAGGGTAGACATGTATATCACTAGTGACTCTCATTCCATATGCACTGAAGTACAATGTCTAGCAACGTTAAAAGTATGTACTAACTTTCCATGTGTTGTCCTTCCCCTACTAACCATGGACCGGTAGAACAAAGTTTAATGTCAACATCTGTCTAACCTTTAATGTGGTGGTTCTCAGATTTTGTGTATGGCTCATAGCTCTTCCTTGCATCCTTCCCCCCCGCCCACCCCCCACCCCCAGTGACTAACTCCTTTAAGTGGGCCCCTTACAATAAAGTTCCTTAGGAAAAAAGGTAGAGGAAGAGAGTAAAATTCTTTCCACTTCTGTTCAAAAATCTAAACTCTCTTTAAAGTAGGATAAGCTTGAGAGAAATGATGATATTTAAGAGGGTTAATGATGGAAAGGGTAGGGTCCTATTGGACAATCTAATCCAATCCTGCAATGCAGGATACCGCACTACAGCACACTTGCTATTACTATGTCTAATTTTAGACAATTTTAAGAGACTTTTATCCAAAATGCTCTTAAACAGATAACATTGAGAGGAAAATATAAACTAAATTTCACAAAAACATTGGGTGTCCCCTTTGCCTTGATTTTTTTTTTATGAATATGTTAGTTACACTGGCTTTTCAGTTTTGATTTCAGTTACCCTCACTGTTAATATTGTTATCTAATTCTTCACGCTTAACACATTAATAGTCACGTTATTCTTCAACTTCTGTCCCAGAACTCTCTCTTCTGCCTTTTGTGTATTGTAGGTACATGGTAGACTGAATTAGGCTAATTTCCTACTACTACTTCCAATGTAGTTTAAACTTGACAAGCACTGGTTAGGCAATTTCTAACCCAGTGAATCAGTACCCCATTATTTTTGCTTAAGTAGAGCTCATTTAATTCCTAGTATTGTCATCACCAAATTCATTCTGAATACAAAACCTAGATGGTCTCCAATATCAATCTTTCTCTTTCTTCACTAGTTGTGGGCACTGGAACGATCACAAAGTTATTGAGGAAAAATTTAAAACCTGCAACTATACAGATTTAGGTTACTTTACATGGTATGTTTAAAATCTTTAGTAGGTTAGAAAGAGGCATACCTTTGTATTATCTCACTTATATAATGGTTGTTTAGCTTCATAATGGAAAATCTAGTGATGAGGTTAATGATGTCATGCCTAAATGTAAATGGCATTTGAAACCTATTTAGAGGTTATGGTGAAGCCCCAAGCATTCCATCAGTGCCCATCTACAGATAGTTGGTATCCAAAGCCATGTTACTATAACAGTAGAATACTTTTCACAAAGGGAAAAATCAAAGTTGTTCCCCGGGAGTCCAAGTTCAGATGTTGATTAAATCTTTAAATCAGTTGCATTTGCCTTCTTACAGGTTCCTTTTTTGCCAGGAGACTCTGATCTTGATCAGCTGACAAAAATATTTGAAACGCTGGGGACTCCAACAGAAGAACAGTGGCCTGTAAGTCCGTTAGTTAACAAACCTATCTCAACATTCTCTTTTTTATATTACTGTTAACTGTTTGAATTAAATTACTTCAAAAAGACTGTTAGCTGAATTTACAAAACAAAGTGCAGCTAGTCCAGGTTTCCAAAACTGTTACTTGGATCAGATACCTGCTAGTATAATAGCATGTGTAACTTAAGAGTGAAAATAAAACTTCCCATGATAGACTTTCATCATGTGGTGATAGCCATGGACACAGAGGAGTGATAATGTAATGCTTTTTTGTTTCATCTTGTTTGATATAGCCACGTAGTTTGTAGGCATTTGCAAATGTGTTTTGATGCAGAACAGTTGTATGCGGTCATACCATAATTCAAAAGGAAGTGTTTAAAGAATCTTGCAGTATTTTATCATATTCTTGGTGCTTAATGAAAACTTTAACCTTGAAGAAATTCTTGTTTGTAGGATACTTGGCCAAAAGAGAGGATATATTCTGAAATTAATTCACAAATCTTGTAACTCTTCAAAATTAAGAACCTTAATTCCCTCACTTCTATAGACTATACAAGAGATGTAATTCATTCATTCATCATGTTTACTGCCACTTTAACATGCTGTGGTGTGCTTGGTTAAAACTTATTGCAGTATAAATGATGTTGCTAGAAATATTTAGCATAATTTGGCTATTTTAAGTCTATCAATATAACTTTGTATGATATTGGGGGGAAGAAGAGAGGTGACTTGCAAACTGGATGAAAGCAACAGTAAGATATGCATTATTGCAACTTGAACAGGTGTTAAACTATTTGGCTCAATTCTTTTTTCAAAAGTTCTTCAGTTTCCCACTGCAGAAGCAGTTGCAGAGTATTACTTATGCAGAACATAGTCTCCCACATTGTTGATGCAAATGACTTCCACGTTAAAGAGGCCAACTTAAATTGCTTTTGTCTGAAAATCTTGTGTGTTCTTTTACTGCAAATCACTCCTAGGATTACAATAATGAGAGACTAGAGGGGTAATTTTTTTTTTTCCAATTTTGTTAGTGTATTTGACCCTCTTAGGGATAGTCATTTTTCTTGATTCCGTTCTATAGTCATTTACTTTCCTGCTTTGTGGAGGTCTTTACGCTGCATAGTAGGAAAAATCCTTTAGAAAGGGTAGTGTGATTGTAAAAGCACAACATTGATAAATTTGTTACCTGAAACTAATGTAATAATTTTTATTAAACTGACTCAATTTCAGATTGACAGTATGCTTTAAAAGTTGACTGTTACTTCTGATCCATAAGCTGCACCGTGGCAATTCCTTCAGTTGGGGTCTAAGCTTTTCTTTATTTGTTTTAAAATCTGATTCCCGTTTTGTTTTCATAGGGCATGTCTAGTCTTCCAGATTATGTAACATTTAAAAGTTTCCCTGGAATGCCACTTCAACATATCTTCAGTGCAGCTGGTGATGACTTGCTCGATCTTCTCCAAGGTCTATTCATATTTAATCCTTGTACTAGGGTCACAGCTACACAGGTATGGTAGAATGTTTGTTTGTATTGTATGTTATAGGTTGTGTACGTTCTAACACCTCTTGTTAACATCAGTTCAATATCTCTTGGATACAAGGAGTGATAATTGAGGTTTTGAGATCGAATAAATAAGATGACATTTTTATTATAGCACATAGGAGTCCCTGGCATGGACCAGAACGTCATCTTGCTCTGAGCATATAACTACTATAAAACCTTCTCATGCTATGGAAGAGACTTTCAAAGGCATAAATGGCAGTTGGAAGTTAGATGTCTGTCTGCCACTTGTGTCTTTGAAAATCTCCCCCTACGGATCTAGGTTGAAGTTATGAAGATGAAAGATTTGTGGCTCCTAGGCTTTTTTGACACTTTCATTACATCCTACCTTTGCAACACTATTTGCAGTACCACTACCATATCTCCTAGGAACCCTAGTCATTGGTCAGGACCCTATTGTGGTGGGCACTGTACGCAGAACATAAACATGGCTCCTGCCCCAAATGCACAGTCTAAGTATAAGACAAGAGACGATAGATACAGACAGATAAGGGAGTACAAGGAAACCATGAGACAGTATGGGTCTGTTTGGTGGTCTGTGGTATCAGTACACTGTTCAGCTACCTGGTGAACTTTGAGCTTTACATGTCTTCATACAGGACCTTCCATCCCTTATTTTATAAATGTTGAAATAATAAATTCATATTAAAATTCAATTTTTCTCCGTTTCTGTTGAAACTCTTGACCCTCGTTGGTTTTTACAGTGGGAGCCTTATCCCAGAATTTTCATATCAAATCTGTTGCTGAAAGTCTAGCTGTGACAACTTTTCTTTGTCACTTTGCGGGGGATGGATCCATATATTCAGTACGATGGGTTCTTCAGCCTCCGTGCTATATGAGGCAGAGTCGGATGATTTGATTGGCTGGGCTGATTCTCCAGGTAACTGCTTTCACTGGGAAATAGTGACCCAAAATGATTTGGGGCTTGTGGTGGATAAACAGATGAATATAAGCTCCCAGTATGACACCATGGCCAAAAGAGCTAATGTGATTCTGGGATACATAAATGGGAATGAGGAGTAGAAGTAGAGAGGTTATTTTACTTCTGTATTGGTCACTAGGGTGACCTCTCCTGGAATACTGTGTACAGTTATGGTGCCCCCAATTTGAGAAAGATGTTGATGAATTGGAGAGGGTTTAGAGACGAGATTAGAAAACATGCCTTGTAGCAGAGGTTCTCAACCCTTTTCTTTCTGAAGCCCCCCCAACATGCTATTAAAAACTCCACAGATCACCTCTGTCACAATAATGGGTTTTCTGCATATAAAAGCCAGGGCTAGCAACAGGGCAATTGCCCGGGGCCTCATGCCACAGGAGCCACCACAAAGCTACATTGCTCAGGCTTCGGCTTCAGCCTCGGGTGGCAGGGTTCAGGCCTGGGCTTCAACCCCATGCGGCAGGGGCTTTGGCTTTCTGCCCTGGGCCCCAGTGAGTTTGATGCTGGCCCTGCTTGGCAGCCCCTCTGAAACCTGCTTGCAGCCCCCCTGGGGGCCTTGGACCCCTGGTTGAGAGCCACTGCCTTATAGTAATAGACTCAAGCAACTCAATCTATTTATCTTAACAAAGAAGGGTAAGAAGTGACTTGATTAGGTAGATGGTGACTTGATTAGGCATAAGTAGCTATATGGGGAAGAAATAGTTAATAATGAGCTATTTAATCTAGAAGAGAAAGGTACAACACTATCCAATGGCTGGAAGTTGAAGCCAGACAAATTCAGACTGGAAATTTTTAACAGTGAGAGTATTTAACCATTGGAACATAACCGTTTACCAAGGGTTGTGGTGGATTGTCCATTACTGACAATTATTAAATCAAGATTGGATGCTTTTCTAAAAGACCTGCTCTAGGCAATTTTGGGCAAGTTCTGTGGCCTGTGCTATACAGGAGGCCAGACTAGATGATCACAATGGTCCCTTCAGGCCCTGAAATGTAAAAAGAGCCTCTCCAGAATTTTCTCTGCCTCCAAAGATGTAGCAGGCTAAGAGTGAGGGCCTTTGTAGGCTGTCCAAAACCTGATGATTTTTTTCTTTTCCTCTTTTTGTTGTTTGTTTTTCCCCCAGCTTCTTTTTCCTGAGCCTCTCTACTCTTTTAGTGTGTGGAGTTGCTAAAAATGTTTTCCAATTGGCTCTAAAACTGATCCTTGCAATCCCTTCCTGGCCATCCTGTTTAAGGTGGGATGATAAACCTAGTGAAGACAGAGTATGTGACTTAAGTCTTCCTTCTTCTCCTCCTCCCCCCTTCTCCCCCCCCCCCCCGCCAAAATTTTCACTGACAGAAGGGTGGAATCAGCTCTCTGAAGAGACTATGAAGAAGTCTCAGGAGCACATAGAGTACAATTGACAATGGTCAGGTTTTTTTGCCAGAGCAGTACTTCGTTCTTCTGAGTACATGCTCTCTGACATTCCAAAAAAGGTGAAAAGGGCCAAGGAGTTGGGATCATCCTTCGAGAATTTCCCTAACATCTGCTCTACTTTGACACCTCACTTGATGCTTTCAGGTCCTCCACCAGATAGAGGACTCTAGCATAGTGGCAAGAAGGCTTCTATGACTGTGGGTGTGGAAGGTGGATATTTCCTCAAGACAGGTTTTTGGTAGCAAGCCTATACGTGGGAGCAAAATGTTTGGGGGCGGGACAGTATAAAAAGGGAGATCTAAAGCACAGTACGAACTTTAAACCATTTTAGGCATCCCTTTTGGGGTTATGGAGCTTCATATAGATAATGGTAGGAGAGATGAGATTCTCTAAGAATAGATGGGAGAATACCAGGCCTATTAAATGCAGAGGTGACTCATTCTACAGGAATGTTTCTAAGAGCAATAAGTGACTCCCTCCAGCCAATATTCCCTGGGGGTGAGGGTGCAGGTCTAAAAGACCCTCTCTTCCCCTGGCTGCCCAGCCCATCCAAGAGGAAGGCTATGCTCCAGCAAATAGACAGCCTTCTCCATATCAGGGTGATTGAGCCTGTCCCAGACCAGGATCAGTATTGGGGCTTATAGTCCATACTCCTGATTTGTGAGGCAATCATGGAGGACAGGGATGTCCTGGATTTAAAGATTCAACAAGCTGATCCATTTCCACAGGTTCAAAATGGACACTGCTCCTGTCTGTCATGCTAGCTACCACAATGGGGATTTCCTAATCTTTGTCGACCTCAAGGAACCATATCGTCACTTTTCCATCCTTACACAGATGGTACCTGAGGTTTGCACGTGCTGTACAAAGCCCATTTTTGGCACTGCCACTGCCCCCAGAGTAGTCACTGTTCAGAGATGCCCCTAGTATCTGTATCTGTATCATTTTCTCAATGGCATTCTGATGAAGAGCCTCCTTCCTACAGAAGTCTTTCAAGTACACCCAAATGACCAGTGCCCACCCTGCAGAAACATGGATTTATAATCAATGTGAAGAAAAGACTGCTTGTCCATACCCAGACAATGGAACACCTGGGATTGGGGCTGAACACTACACTTCACAGGACCTTCCTCCCTGAAAACGGGCAAGTACAGATTCTGGAGAAAACCTATAAGATCCTTCACGGTCAACACTACTCTATGAAGATTTTCTAGGCATGTTCATTTCATGCATATACTTACTGTCATGGGCAAAATTTCATCTCTGGTGCCTGCTGTACAGCCCACTCAGCTTCCCTGCTCACATTCACAGTTTCAACTCTCACTAGAAGACTTCTCTCCACAGTAAAAGGACCCTTAGATGGCAATTACAACAAGATTCACAGACGGTATCTGCTTGGCAGAACCACAGAGATGCAATAATGATGGATGCCAGCTTGGAAGGGTATGGAGCTGACACATCTTTTGAAACACATGGTACAAAGTCAGGGTCACTGACAGAATCTCACTACGCCATAAACTGTTTTGGAATTGCAAGTGATTCACCTAGCCCTTCAGGCATTCCTCCCCACCTTAAACTCAAGACACATACTTGTATTCATAGTCAGCCTGACTGCCATAGCATATGTAAACAGATAGGGCACATGGTTGAGCCTGCTACAAGCAGAAGCCACATTTTTCTTCCAACGGGCTGCGAAAAACATTGTCACTTTGAACCATGCATATGAAAGGGCAGCTGAATGCCAGCGATTGGCTCAGCTGCAAAAGCTCGGAGCAGGGGAAATTGTGCCTTAATCATGCCTTCACCAGAGGTGTTCAAACCCATAGCCCAGACCTTTGGGAAACTAACATGGAGGCTCCAATGCCAAAAACAACTCCTATACCAGGAAATGAGATAGTCGGGCCAGGGGAATCAGTGACCTCCTAGGTATGGCCAACAGCTCTGCTATATGCATTCCCTCTTTTTCCTATAACATGCAGCATCTAACAGAGACGACAGGCTGTAATTCTGATTGCACCGCTCTGGCCCAAACTTCCCTGGTTTTCAGACATCATGGAGATGTTTGTGACCCCTCCATCAACATTACGATCCACTCAGGATCTGCTATCATAGGAACATCTGCTCCATCACAGCATCTCAGAAGCTGGCAGCCTGATTATTGAGAGGTCACTTTAAAAATAATAAATAAACATAACCCCCTACCCACAAACTAGTAAATTCCAGTGATTTGTTCTCAATCCTACTCAAGCCCAGAGAGTTTTCAGCCAATTCTTGATATACAGTAATAGAAGATTTTATTCCTGGTGCATGTTGCGATACACAGCAGGATCAGCATCTGTATTTAGAGAACAAAGTCTCTCAGTAAAACATCTGCTTAGTTCATTCTAATACAGGGTTAGGGGACAGGGTTTGAGATCCTCCACAGCAAAGTAAGTGTGTGTGTGTGTGTGTGTGTGTGTGTGTGTATATATATGTATGTATGTATATATGTATGTATGTATATTGAAGGGAATGGGGGAAGATTTTCCAAGGCATGTAAAGCTAAGAGGTAATCTCCCCCATTCAAGATTAAAGCCAATAAGATAATGCAGCCTCATGGGCTGATGGTTCCCTACATATGTTTACTAAATTCTAGAAGACTGATAGATTTTGGTCAGATGAAGCAGACTTTGACAGGAGTTCTGTGAGCTGTAGCCTTCCCTTAGCCCACTCAACAATTGATAGCGAGGGCAGGACTACTGCTTTCACTCCATGCATCCGAAGAAGTGAGGTTTTTACTCACGAAAGCTTATGCCCAAATAAATCTGTTAGTCTTTAAGGTGCCACCAGACTCCTTGTTGTTTTTACAAAAATCCCAGCACTTCTGAATTTATGATCCATCCCCTGAAATGAGAATGAAAATTTCCAGATAAGTGAGACAAATTTTCTTTCTGGGTAGGGCATATGGGTTCATAAATTCATCCCAACCCTGTATTTTATCTACTTCTTCTGGAAGGTGATTGGTCAATTGTGCGCTTGATCCCCGCTTTAGGAAAGAGTGGATGGATAACCAGGCTCTTAAAATTAATTGATGACCCTCAGGGTTGTCCCAGTTTGTTTTTTTCCAGATTGGACAGTTCTTAATTGTTGGGCAGATTTTCTGCTATTGTTAATATCTGAATGAGTATTTTATTCATAATAGCAGCTTTGGAAGAAAGTTTTCGGAGGGGCTTTTCAGTGGGGGAAGTTATCTGGAGGGTCAGCCCAGCCAGTTAAAACATCTGATTGAAGAACCCATCACTACTGAATTTATGGACCCATCCCCCTACCCAGAATTCTGGGTAAGTGAGACAAATTTCTTCATACTTTTTTGATACTTTTGCAAGAAAGCTCTTGCTATTTGTCAGTCAGCTCCTGTTCTGAGTATGTTGGGGGCGAGGCAGGGGAATAACAACAATTCACACGATAAACCCAAAATGTAGTGTATACCTATTTCTTCTCCCTCTCCCACTGTTGCATGCCAGAGGGAACACGGCTGGAAAGAACAAAGGTGTCCCATCACCTGATCACTGCAATTCCCCTTACCACTCAAAAGATTACATTTTTGGGGATAGGACAGGAGATGAGTTTAACTGCCTTAGGTAGCCTTTTCAACAACACTTTTTCATAGTGTTATCTGCCTCTTTATCAGATATACGCTTTAGTATGCATTCAGTTTCTAGTAAAATAGAATGCTATACTGAAGGCTACTTACGAAGTCCTTTTTCATAGGCTGATATTCAAGGATCAAGCCGCAAAATATGAATTAAAATACTGTAGCAGGAGGACCGTTATAACTAAGGCTACGATTTAAAGATGGGTGTTTTTAGTAAGTCATGAACAGGTCACGGGCAAAAAACAAAAAATCACGGCCAGTTACCTGTCTAACTTATACACCACTAACCCGATATAATGCTGTCCTCAGGAGCCAAAAAATCTTACCGTGTTATAGGTGAAACTGCGTTATATCGAACTTGCTTTGATCCGCCGGAGTACACAACAGCCAGCCTCCCCTTCTCCCCCTTCTTTCCCCCCCCCCCCCACCACACCTGGAGCAGGGCTTCACTGTGTTCTATTCTAATTCGTGTTCTATTGGGTTGCATTATATCAGGATAGAGGTGTACCATAACTACACCCTGATCGAATCTTGTCAGGAGCCAGTCTTGCTGCAGCTGCTCCTGGCATCCCCGGGACTGCTGCTCAAGTGGTCCCGGGGCCAGCTGCCCGGGGCTGCCAGAGCAGTGACTAGTGTGGCTGGCCCCAGGGCTGTGGCAACTCAAGCAGCGGCTGGTGTGGCTGGCTGCAGAGCCGCTCCAGCAGTGGCTGGTGTGGCTGTCCCTAGAGCCGCCTGAGCAGCTGGTCCCAGGGCCAGCTGCTTGTGGTGGCCCTAGGGTCAGCCACACTGACCACTGCAGTAGTCACAAAGGTCGCAAGAAGCCACAGAATCCATGACTTCCCTGACCTCCGTGACGGACACATTTTATAACCCATTTTAAAAATTGCAAGTTTTCTGCTTTAAACTCCTGGGTTCTTCCCGATGTGGCTTGACTTACAGCAGAGACTGAACACTATAATTAGGATAAGCAAAAACATTTCCTGGCAGTTCCAGCTGCTTGCTTGCTTTATTTATTTATTTATTTCCTGAACTGTGGTTTATAGAAGCTGTGGAACTGAAATCTGCTTTAAAGTGGAGGGGTGGGGAGGATATAATTAACTTACATAAAATAAGTATCAATTTTACATATCTGCTTCCTATGTGTTCAGGTCCTCTGTGTACTCAGTAACAAGCTTTTCTTTCTTTTGGCATTGCAGAATCAGAGCGATTAGGGAAGAGTAGAACAGAACCCAACTTACTTTGTAAATCAACATAAGGATGGTGTTCCAGAAATCTGGCTTCAATTCCTGGCTCTGCCAGAGGTGTCGCTGATTACCTTGAAAAAGTCAATCTCTGTGCCCCTTTCCTTTTCTGTCTTGTCTACAGTATTTAGACTGTACGCTCTTCAGAGCTATAACTGTCTTAGTGTACATGTATAGCATCTGCCACAATGGGGCCAGGATCTTGGTTGGGGACTCTAGGCACCTACTGTAATACAGATGATTAGACAAATTATCTCAACTTGTAAATTGAGCAAACTGTATGGAAGTCGCTGAGAGAATCTGAAATCTTGGGTTTTGTAGCAACTCTTGAGTACAACTCCAGTCTTAGAACTGCAATCTTAGAACCCCTAGAAGTGTCATAAGTTATAAGCAAGGAGTTTAAGAAAAGGAAAGAATATACCTTCAGATCAATTTGTGCACACTATTAACTTGACCAGCTTTCTCCCCTTATCTTTAAGGCATTGAAACAGAAGTATTTTAGTAATCGACCAGGACCAACACCAGGAAGTCAATTGCCAAGACCAAACTGTCCCGCAGAAGCCTTAAAAGAACAACAAAATTCACTTTTAAATTTAAAAAGGAAGAGAACAGAAGGAATAGATCAAGGTAATTTTTCTTCTAAATCTTTGCATTTTATATTTTTAATTTTAAACTGAAGATGCATGGTAAGTATATGATACTGTCCCAGTGTTTAAGGACATATGACCTATATATAGTCCTCTATCTTACCAAATGAAATATTGCTCTGTAAATTGGCCAAATCTGAGCCCATAACACCAACCTAAGCCCCTTGGTGACTTGTAGTATTCTTTTTACAAGAGGTGTACCTTGTTAAAAGAAATATCTTCTATTCCATGTAGATTCTAAGGTGTAGAAAAACTTCTGTATCACAAGTTCTGTCAATATCCAAAACTATTTTACAGTATTAATACACTTTATCCTATGACTATTACCTGTTTGAGATGTTCTCTTAAATCCTTATATAAAGGGAATTACTTAAATTTTAATTGACATTTGATTGAATTCATTGGAAATTCTGAGCATTTTAGGACTCTGATGTACATTAAATGTTTACTTCTCTAGTCTGCACATGCTTAATTTTATAGCCAAACTTCATCCCACTACTGGCCTCTACACATTTTGTGTAAAATGTACCTGCTCAGAGATCCTCAGCTTTGAGAACCTTCTGGGCAGCAGTGTCCTCTGGAGCTGCACAAGCAAAGCCTTATAGTACCAGATGTTTTGAGCTAAGACCATAAAGGATGATATGGCCTCCACCACTTTTTCTTTTTCTCCTCCCCCCCCCTCCCCCCCGACTGAGAATCTATGGGCCTTGTCCCTGTGTCTCCAGACTCTTTTTCTTAAATTGTGCACCTTTGTCATTTTGAGTCAAGCTTCTGAAGTTCTGGATATGGTAGATTTAAGCACATTCCCATTATTTGTCTTGCATAGGGGAAAATAACATCTGCACTGCAGTTTTATAGCCCTGCAGCCTGGGTCCCACAAGCCTTGGTCAGCTGACCTAGGCCAGCCATGGGTTTTTACTGCAGTGTAGACATACCCTAAGTGATAGTGTAAGCAAGATCTAAGTTCTTTTGTGGCTTTTCTCTGAGCTTTAACAAAGGGTAGGAAAGCAGTCTAATATCTTGGCCTATTCTGTACTACAGATACAACTAATGAATTGTAAATTCTTCAGAGAAGTGGTAGGGAAAATGTTTTGTCTAAAACTCCTTGTGCAGTTTGGCATTAAATAAGTTGGTGAGCATGGTTGTCAGTGACTTGTAGCGTGGATGGGACCAAACCATTTTTAAACAAAGCCTCAGCTTATTTATAGGATGCTAGGAGACAACCATGTTTTAATAGGGTTACCATACGTCCGGGTTTCCCCGGACATGTTCGGCTTTTGGGTCTTTAAATAGCCATCTGGGGGGAATTTGTAAAAAGCTAAAAATGTCCGGGATTTCCCCCCGGACTGCTATTTAAAGACCCAAAAGCGGCTGACAGGGCAGCTGCGCCGGCGGAAAGCGGTACTGGGAGCAGCATGGAGCGACCGCGAGAGGCCAGTGTGGGCGGCCCGGCTCCCCCTGCCTGGGGCTCCCCTCGCCTGCCAGGGGGCGCAGGCTCCTCCTCTGCAGCACTGCCCACTGGGGGGCTGGGGCTCTCCCGGGGCTCTGCCCTGCACACACCCAGAACCCCTGGGGCTGCTCCTGCCTCCCTGGGCTGGCCCCAGATCCCCTCCCCCAGGGGGCTGGGGTCCTGCTACGGCTTGCGCCCCTCTGCCTCCTCCGTGGGGCAGGCAGCCCCAGGGGGTTGAGGCCGTGCCACCCCTTCCCCAGCTTCCCCCTCCAGCAGCCCCGCATCGCCCTGCCGGGCCTGTTCAGCCCTCGGCTCCACCGGGTCCTGCCCTGCCTCATGCAATTCGCCCCTACTGTGCGGCGGCCCAGCCCGGGGGGACTGGGGGAGCCGCAGCAAAGGCTCACCCGGAGCTGGTGCAGGAGACAAGCCTGGCTCTCAGCCCAGGCTCCGGCATCAGCCGGGAGTAGAGCAACCCCCACCGGCTCAGCTCAGCCCAGCCCCGCTCTTAAAGTGACAGGGACCCCACCGCAGGTTGGCCCGGCCTGGGGCACGTGGGGGTGTCACCTCACCCCCCGCCTGGGGGGCCCGGCGAGGGGGGTGCTTGGCACCATAGCAGCGCAGAGGGGAGGCCAGTGATGCACCTTACTCTCTCCTTCACTGCCAGCCACAGTCTTGCCTCCTTTCTCCAGCTTTGTGAGGCACTGTACACCTCAGAGCAGCAAATGGTAGCAGATTCTGCTGTCTCCAAGCAGAGTCTATCCCTGAGTGTTTATTTCCGCAGCAGTGAGTTTTTGGTTTGGTGCATTCACTCCTGATCTCCCTGGTAAAGTGTAACAAAAGCCCTTGGCATTCATTTTCTCAGTGTTTCTGGGAATACCCTTTTCAGTTTCATAGATTGATCTGGGATCTTTCTTTTGCTGTTTCCAGAGAGAACTGTTGACAGCAGGGAGATATGTCCCTGACTAGAGGGCAGGAAGCAAATTTGACTAGACCAGTTGTGACTTCCTTTTTATTTGTTACTATAAAATGTATTACACACAAATAGATTGCTAATGAACTTCCATCTTTGGGTTTCTGGAAAACAGCTCACTCTAATACTTCGAAGATGCAGGGATCTTTGGTCTTAAAAAATGAAACATCAGACTCATTAATTTGGGGGAAGTGCAGTGGTCCATTTATTAAATTTCTTAAAAACGTGATTCAAAAAATCCTTCTGAGACTGTATTTTAATGCTGAGATCCCAATAGCCTTACTATAGAAATAGAAAGTAAAACAAAGACATTCTTGATCCAGGTCAATTAGAGCAGTGGTTGCCAATGTTTCCAGACTACTGGACCTCCTTCAGGAGGCTGATTTGTCTTGAGTACCCCTCACTTAAAAAACTACTTGCTTACAAAATCATATAAAAATACAAGTATCACAGCACAGTATTACTGAAAAATTGCTTATTTTCTCATTTTTACCATATAAATTATCAAATAAATCATGACTCCCAGATTGAGAAACACTGGTATAGTATATAGAGCAGTATAAACAAGTCCCTGTCTACGATGATGATTGCATATGCTTCGATAATTAGTTTGGCAAGGCCTTCTATATCAAAGTTACACACATTTTTACACAATATCAGGCAAACCAGCTTGGATCTCTCACTATTCATGTCTCTGTACTAATTGTGCTCTGCATCATTTCACAAAAAAGTTATTTAACTGAGCTTGAAATTTGTCATTATATGGAGATTTCTAAAAATACCCTTCTAGAAAAACTTCCATTTGGTTTCCCAGTAAAGAAAATGACTTTATATAGCTTGTTTGTTTGAACTTCGAGGCCCATACAGTCCCTAAAATGACACTGCCTTGGTTAGTGTTGTGCCCCATTTCTCACAGTACTCATGATGGGTTGGATTGTCACAGCCCAGCTCAGCCACACAAGGGAGTAAATATTATCTTTTCCAAGTAGACCCCACTGATATGGGGATGCCCCTTTAAAGGAAGGCCCCGGGACAGGTATGGACAAGAGAGTCCCTCCAGTGGAGGGAGAGGAGTGTCAGAGGTAGGGTTACCATACGTCCGGATTTTCCCAGACATGTCCGGCTTTTTGGTCCTCAAATCCCCATCCGGGAGGAATTTCCAAAAAGCCAAACATATCCGGGAGAATAAGGAGGCATGGTATGGGGACCGCCTCCTCCCCGGGCTCCAACTTTCCCGGTTCCCGCCGCTCTCCACCGCGGCAGGGGCCGAAGCAACTTCCCCAGCGCAACAGCAGCTGGGGGGGCGGGAGGGAGGAGGGGGAATGTGGGGTGCTCAGGGGAGGGAGTGGAATTGGGGCAGGGCCAGGGGCGGAGTTGGGGCAGGGGCAGGGTCCCGTGGAGTGTCCTCTTTTTGCACTATTGAAATATGGTAACCCTAGGTTTAGTAGGTCACATTTGAAGTGTAGGTGGACCTCAGGAAAGAGGAATGGAGTAGTGCTGCTATCCTGCCAGTCTCTGGGGCAGAACCTAAAATAAAAGTCTAGTAAAACCTTTAAGCAGACATTGAAAGGTTCTTCATTTCCTCCACTGTACCAACATGCTGCAGTTACTGCGAAACTAGAAAACTTACTATCTTTATTACAATACCACCACCCACCCCACTGACACTTGCCTTTTTTTTTTCTAAGCTTAATTCTATTTTAAACCTGTAACTTTTTATATCAATGGAAGGAAAGACAGGTGGTGTCTAAAATGTTTCATGTCACACAGCCTTGCACAAAGATAGCTTGGAAACTTTTTAGGAGTACAAAACGGCTTTCTATAAATAGTTTAATTTTGGATTGCATGTTTCATGTAAACATGAGAGAAACATTCTGGACAACTTTTTTCATGCACTATTTTAGCTGCTCTTACATGAGCCTGCTCCAAGACTAGACAGGGCCTACAGAGTAGTTAGGGTATAGCTACAAGCAAAAGCTGTGCATGTTTATCCAAGCTAGCCTGAATCTAGCTAGTGTAGGGAGCAGTGTGGGCTCAAGAGCTGAGTACAGTGGCTGGGTATATACTCAGCTCATGAGCCCAACCTGACGTCCGTGCTGTCTTCACTGCTCCTGTTACCTGTGCTAGCTGGATTCAAGCTGGCTCTGGTAAGCTAGCCTGTTCACAGCTTTTGCTGTTCAAACATACCCTAAATAACTAGTAAAACTTTGAGTGGGGGATTGGGACCTTTATCTCATTTATCAGTATTAATACAAATTAAATACTTACGCTATAAAATTAATTTACCATTTTTCAGGATTACCAAAAAAGTTGATTTTTTGATTACCGTGGATGATGACGATTAAATGGCCTGAAAGACCAAGACAATGGGAAAATGCTGCAACATTAACTGAACTTTGATGAAAAGTGAATTTGTAATATATTTACATGTGTAAAATGTGAAACTTAATATTTCAATGCTGAAACCATGTGGAGTGTTTTATTAAACCTATTCCTCTTTGAATAAATATATTTTTTAAAAAGAGCAAGATTCTTTGAACTGGATTGCTGTATAATTACTTTGAAATGTGCTTGTGTAGTAACTATAGGAAGAATATGGTGATAAAGGAGACTAACTTGAGATGCAGGCTTTGCTGAATGAAGTGCTATGCTAGTGCAAGCCCTACTCTAGGAGAGAGCCCCAAGTGAGGAGCCTGTGTGCAGATGAATGTTTGTTAGCCCATATACAGTTTTTACCACCCATCTGTACTAGAGATAAGGGGATGCCACAGTGTTTTAACTTTGTTCCAGTTAAATCTGCCAATGCAATAACAACTGAGTGTGCACATGTTCTCGTAGCAGACATACTTGAAAAGTCTTCAGGTGTATCCATGCTGAGTTTTGAACTACAAGGAGGTACTCCTCGATTTGATCCTCCAAAAGAACCAACTTATTGGAAAGAAGAAATACAAATATTTGGAATAGAACGCTAAGGAGATGAAACAGGGAGGCCTTGCAGCCTCTAGAGCTGCAGTACGTTTAAAAAGGAATGGAGGGATGTCTGAAGAGTAATGTGGCAGACCTCTATATGATGCTGCTTATGACTCATATTTGAACGATATGGTGTTTATGTAACTGAGTACAGTATTTAGTCATCCCAAGAAAACACTAGGGAAAAAAATAATTGTATTTCCTGTATTACTGTGTACTGACCACTAGTAATTTTAAATTAGCTGTAGATCTCCTCCAAGACTTAATGGATTCCCTATGTAGATAGAAATTCATATTTAATAACATTTGGTTTGAGTGACATTCTGTTCAGAAGTTACTTTAGCCTAAAACCAGAACTCACTGTACACTAAACAATTACAGGTTCAGCTTTCTGATGGAACAAATGGCTGTACACTCTCATTTGTAGCAGGCATATACTCAGATGCACTTATCTGCGATCATACTGTGTGGGAAGGGAGGTTCTATTATAAACTCACTTTGGATTTAGCTTCCCTGAGGTAGTTACTGCTCCCTGCTGGATTTCAGGGCCCACATACTGTTCTGAAATTTAAATCTCTAGCCAAAAGTAGGATGCAAAATGAGGATAATACCTAGCTCTTGGGTGTAGTAAACACTGTTTGTAGAGCACTGAAGTGCTAAGTATTATACAAACCACTTCCAGATTATTTTGCACTGCATGATGAGGAGGAATTGCTGCAGGTGCACATGAGCCAGAAGACACTGCCATGGCCAGGAAGTCAGTTTCCCAAGAGGAAACATTCTCTGGTGAAATAAGTAATGCCTCGTGACACTTGTATTGTTTGGAAAAAGATTGATTTAAATGGGTCCCTGTCAGTTAGTTTAGGTGCAGAATGGAGATAACCTTACTTAGCTAAAGCACATTGAGGTTTCACATGAGCACCAGTGAATTTGAGAGGCAGATTGCATGTAGCAGTGGGAGAAGAGTAATGCTGGCATATAGAGCATCTTCTCCAGGTTTCTTTGGGGGAGTAGACAACTTTTCATTCCTTATAGCAGGCAGTTGCCCTTCTTGCCAAGCTTCTGAGGGAATCTTTTATGTGTATAAACCAGAAGAATGGGATTCATGGAATAAAGGTACTTGGAGAATTATTCTATCCCCACTGCTTGGTCAGTTGGGGTAGGCAATACCTGCTTCTGGCAGGAATCCTTCTCAAGGAGGGGCCTAGTTGCTGTACCTCCATGGGAGGGTTCCCCCAGTTTGTAGATCAGTGGAATAGGATCTCCATCATTTCTCTTCCTCCTTTGGGTATATCTATGTATAGGGTAGAAGGTATGTTGGCTGCCACGTTTAACCCTAGTGCTGATTGGGGGCCTTTTGTAATTTTAACACTGTAGCTGATTCAGGTGAATACTAGGTTCCTGCTGGGTGTCACCTGACCAGCAGCATGGTCTTCTGTAAGATTTTAAAACTCATTTGCTTTTATTTAAAAAGCTTTTTTTTCTAGTGTGGACAAAACCCTCGAGCAACCCAGTTATTCTTACCCTGTTCTTCTCACCATGAAGTCCCTGCCCTGGTTGGGGGTGTTTATCAGCTGTGGGTTGGGCCTTGTAGATGGTGTGAAGATTGCTGGAAAGGGCTGCTGCTTTTGAGCAGTAGACAAGGTAGGGAGAGAGCCTGGCTGTTGACTAGCTACATCTGCTACTTCTGGGGGGATTCTGCATGACAGCACACACCTGCAGAAACCACCCCCACTCCATGCTTCCCGGCAGAAAAGCAAAGGGAAGACATGCAGGGGGGGTGGGGGAGGAATAACCATGGATGCAGTTTTGGGGGGGGATTGCCCCAGGCATGGGGGGCCCACAGGGTTCCAGTCCACTGCCCCCCTTCATTTCTGCAAGCACAGAGCTGCCCAGCTGCAGGAGGCTCTGTCTCTGCTGACTCTGCAGCTGAACGCTGCCTCCTGGATCCTAGTGCCAGTTGTGCTCCCCTTCTGTGTGCTGGGAGCCTTCCTGTTTTCTGTGCAACAGAGAGTGCCTGTGGTGGGCTGGGTTAAGGGGGGGGATCAGGGAAGAGGCAGTGGGGAAAGAAGGAGGGTGGAATAAGAGAGGGGGGCAACAGGGGTTGGGGGGAAGAGGCAGTGGGGAAGGAAGGAGGGTGGAATAAGGCAGGGGGAGGGGTGGAATGGGGGAGGGGGATAGGGGAATTGCAGGGGGAAGCGGGATCCTGGCATGCAGCAGCTGGGGCTCCCCCATTAAGCTGTCTCATAAAAACCCTCACCCTAACATGCCCTACCACACCCAGACCCCCAACCAACTGCACCTGGACCCCCCCTACCAAGCCCCATCTTCCCACAGAGCCTCTGCTGAGCCCCAACCACCTTTATCTGGATCCCCTGTAGAGTCCCTTTGCCCCATACCTGGAACCCCCAATGAGCCCCTGTACATCCAAATCTTCCACTGAGCTGGCCACAGCCAGATTGCCCTACACAGAAACCTCTCACCCCACACCTGGATCCCCCCACACTGGGATCTTGCTGGGCTGAGCCTGCCCACAGCTGGTGCACTAGCACTGAGAGGCAGGGCCCTGGGGTGTTTCTGGGGCAGGCCCGGTCCTTGCATTGTGTCAGGGTCAGGTGCAGCCTCACTGCTGAGTCCCTGTACCGGGGGAGGTGGGAGCTTCATGGTGATCTCCCACCCCAGTGTAGCCAGTGGCCTATGCTCCCCACTCCTATACCAGAGCCACATTTATTTATTGACAAATAAAACTTGCAGAATTATGCAGCATTTTAAAATATTGTGTGCATAATTTTTATTTTTTTGTTGCAGAATTCCCTTAGGGAGTAATCTGCTAAATACATTCATGTGAATTAAAGCAAATATTTGGCTAACTGAATATCTGAATTTCCTGTTCATGCTGGGACATCCTTGACTCTGCTGAGCTAAGCAAGGACCCAAATACCAGCTGTTGGCTTGAGTAGTTCAAAATGCAGTTGTGACACCCTGGCACCCCAATATTCATCATTGTCATGTAATTAGGATATGTTTTGCACAAAGTTTGCTTTCTGAGGAATCCTTCTAAAAGTCTTGATCTGCTAGACAATATCCCATTGGATTGTATGTGCTATCATCGTATGTGAAGTTACAAAGTTTGGCTATGTATGTTACCGAAACATATTGTGAGGTTGAAAACACCCACAAGTAGCCTTTCAGGTACAACAGTAAAAAGACCAAACAATGGCTTACTGAGGAAATGCACACAAGCACCAGGATTACCCCAGGAACTGTGTACAATAGAAACCTCTCTGCGATAGCACTACACGATGGGAACTGTTTGACCCAGGTCACAGGAAAAGAGCTTTTCAGCAAGTGGGGAGAAGATACAAAAGAGGGACAATGACATCATGATGGTACCTCACTCTCCCTACAACACACCTGGAAACGCCTGAGGAAGTAGGACTGAACTGTGGGAAGTGATGGTCCCAGGCTAAGGGATTGCTAGCCTGTGTATGAAAACCTGGAAAACCCAAGCTGAAAAGCCACGGCAGCTGTTGCCTTAAGAACCTGCCAGCCTGTTTATAGCTCAGGGTGAGAATTTGCTAATTCATATCCTACCTATCTAGTATGTTAACCTCAGTTTGCAGTTTATTTGCTATTTATTAGGTAATCTGCTTTGATCTGTTTGCTATCACTTAAAAATCTATCCTTTTGTAGTTAATAAACTTATTTTATGTTTTAATCCAAATCGGTGTGCATTTTGACTGAAGTGTCTCGGGAAAATCTCAGCTTGGTTACCACAAGTGTGGATGGTCCTCTTCACATTGCAGGAGAGGTGGACCGGGTGTTAAACCCATATACTGGCCAAATTTGACCAGCACAGGACAGTACTGCTCTGGCATCCTAGGTTGGGAAACTGGATGTGTGACTGCTGGTGAAAGTGCAAGCTTGGAGGGCTTTGCAATTTGTCACAGCAGCACAGTGTGAGAGGGGGCCCAGGCTGGTGGGTCAGAGGGCTCGGTGGCACCCAGGAGGAACCCATTACAGCAGTACCACCTGTTGAGGACTCCAGAGAAGCAGGCTGATCTCTCACATTGTGAAAGAGTCCCTTGAGTATATACTCATCAGAACTCTTGAAGGCAGGGTGGAAGTTTGCCCTCACTACTGGCAGGGTCAGCTTGTGGGATAGGGAAATAAGATCCCTCGAAGGGCCAGCTTGATGGAAATGGGAAAACAAAGATGTAGAGGTAAGGGTTAAATGCATGGCAACAAAAGAGTGTTTCAAAATAAGATAATTGAAATGGAAGGTTTGAATGAATGAGAGCATGACTATTCAAACCTGTATTGCAATACAAAATAACTTCCTGGCAGACGCTCTTGCACTGCTCAGTAAATAATTGATGAAAAAACTGATTTCCCTGTTGTAGTGCTAGGCATCAGATTATCATAATTAACATAGTTACTCCATTTTCTTCCTTTCTGTACTTCTCCCCACACAGAGCATGATATTTTAAGTTGAGTAACTCTGTAAATCCCATAAAATTCAGCTAATAGGAGCAGCTCTGCAAATCAGGACAC